AATAGATAGATTATTTGTTTGTCTGAATCAATAGCAAAATGTCGAACAATATTAACATTAGTTAAATCAGATAATGATATTGTTCGTGTATTGTATAAACAAAGATTTTGCATATTTCTAAAATATTAATAATTTAAATAATTTAAATCAAAAGCTTGAATTTAGTTTTCAGCATATATGATATATATGACTCATCATCTTACATTATATGATGCAAGAACCAATAATTTCTGTATATGAATTATGAAAATATTGCAATGATATGATGCAAATAAATGATCATAAACCATATTTTTGATATTTTCATTGATTATAAAAAGAATAATGTTTACATGTAGATTTATAATGCTTAGAATAAATTGAAGTAAGAGTGACATCTATAAAGACTAATATTTATGATGTTTTCTATCGTAATAATTTTTTCTTTACAAAAGCAACTCATGTTGCACGTTATTGGGACCCTTCTACATGCTGCTAGACTATCATGTACTCGGTTTAGTTGGACAGAACAAGAAAGTAATAACTTTATATCGTGGTCGCACATTTACAGATGAAATGGTGGACGAGTATTGTCGAGCAACTGGAACTGAAATCACCTGGCCTACCTTCACTTCAACATCGAAAAATTGTGATGTGGCTGAAATGTTCAGTGGGAATACGCTATTCATAATTGAAGATGACAAGGATCATAATACCTGCCATTCTGACATATCTGCACTTTCACACTATCCAGAGGAAGAAGAAGTACTCTTAGGTACTGCAAATCCGTTCACGGTCGAGAACGTTGACTGAGATTCATATAGTGAAAAATATTTTATTTATCTTTCACCGAAATACTGTATAATTAGACTGTCTACTTAAGGGAATCCTCTCTTCCTGGAGTCTCTCGAGAACGGCTCGTCAGAAAAATTTGAAACCTTCACAGCTGATAGACCTTGATGCGTAGAATAAAACTTGTCATAGACTTAAAATTGCAAAATAGTTCTTTCTAAGGAGAGCTGTGCAAATACGGATACAAGTTGTATCGGCAACTTCCTATAATGTCTGACATGTTTCTGCTGATCAGCATCTATTGGCATGTACCAGCATGTATCGACTACATGTCTCACTATAACAGCATATATATCCCTGACAAACCTAGAATTCAAGAACTCATGTAACGCTATGTATTGTCCTTATTACATGCCGTTACATGAATTCTTGAATTCTAGATTTTTCAGCGATATATATATGTATATCTTGTTATAGCGATACATATGGCCGATACATGCTGTTACATGCCAATAGATCCTGATCCTCAGGAATATGTCAGACATTATAGGAAGTGGCTGATACAACTTGTATCCGTATTTGTGCAGTCCTCAATCAATCTTTACTGATAAAAATTACTAAGGCACTTACGATAGGCATACTTATCGGTTTCTTGTTAGGTAAAATGATATCGATACTAACTATGTTATGTCAAGGTGATCATATGAACATATATTTATTTATCCAATGATTAGTTTCATATGAATCACAAAAAAAAGCAAGAACAATATCTCATTGCAATACAAAAAAGCTTAGTTATTTAATAGATATATAAAGAGAAAACAAAAAATCATATGAAATGTCAGTGATAGTAACACATTTTGATGAGAGTTTCTACATGATTTGTGCCAGAACATGCAATGACAATGTCCATCCAGTTGTCTTGATTTAAATCTTTGATTGCAATCGAGTAAGGATGATATCCATAGCCAAGAGCATATGAAGTTTTGTTTTCAAAAAATCCATTTCCAGATCCATAGAGAAGAAGTATAGAATTAGTGCCAGAATTTGCAATGGCAATGTCTAAATTTTTATTATTATCGAAATCACCTACAGCTACTGTAGATGGTTGAGAACGAGTACCAGTTGAATATGTTGCTCTAATTGTAAACATACCATTACCATCACCTAGAAGAATAACAATATTATCAGTTTCAGAATATGTAACAACAATATCCAATTGATTGTCATTATCAAAATCAGCTATACCAACAGAATATGGAGCAGAACCAGTTGGAAATC